GCAACTACACATCAATGTTTCTCTCTCCTTTCATTCCCCCCGGCTAAAAATAAAATAAAATCTTTAAAAAAATAAGTAGCATGAGAAAAGAAGTTAGTTACTTACAGGGAGTTCCTATAAAACTGTCAGCTGATTGCTCAAAAGAGACCTTGAAGTCAAGAAGGGGCTGGAAGGAAGTATTAGAAGTCTTGAAAGGCAAGGACCTATATCCAAGATTGCTCTACCCAGCAAAGCTATCCTTTAGAATGGAAGGGCAGATAAAGTAATTTCCAGACAAGAAAAAAACTAAAGGAGTTCATCACTACTCAGCCCTTATTATATGAAATGTTCAAGGGATTTATTTAAGGAAAAGATCAAAACCACGAACAGTAAAATGACAGGAAATTCACAACTGTCGCAACTGAATCTAAAAACAAATACAAACTATGCAAACAATTAGAACAGAAACAGAATCACAGAAATGGAGATCACATGGAAGGGTATCAGCGGGGAGGGGGAAGAAGGAGAGTGGGGGGAGAAGGTGCAGGGATTAAGTACAAATCGGTAGGTACAGAATAGACAGAGGGCTGTAACATACAGGGTAGGAAATGGAGACGCCAAAGAACTCAAGCAGGACCCATGGATCGAAACTAAGGGCTGGGATTGCCTGATGGACTGGGGGTACCAGGTGGAGGGGAGTAAAGGGGGAAAAGCTGGGACAACTGTAACAGCATAATAAATAAAATAGACTTAAGAAAAAAAGATGTGTGCCTTTCATATTGTGTGAATTTTTTCTAAAAATGAACAAATACTCAACTCTGTTAATGACATGCATGCTAACTAAGTGTCTGGGGGTGACGTGTACTGATGTTGGCAACTTCAAAACACACCCAATGAGAGAGGAAACAGATGGACTCACGAGTTGAGGGACCGAGCCGGCGTGGGTGCCTGGGCGTCCGTGCCGTCAACTTTGCCGTGTGTTTGAATACTTTCATAATAAAAGGTCGAGGGCAGAGTCCCAGTGCAGAACGTCAGTCTCCCTGGACAGGTCCCTGGTCGCAGGCCCCCAGGCCCCTTCCTTTTCTCTGTCACAGTGTCACATGCCACACTGACACCCTTTCAGTGAGGATCTCCTCTCGGACCCCCTCCCAGCCGGGCCCACCCTGTTCCAACAGCTGAGCACCGGACACGGGTCGGTCCCCACGCACGTGTTAGGGGAAGCCCAGCACTTTTTCTTCCATATTGCACAATTCCTTGAAGGGACGTGACCCTCTTTCTTCCACTGCTGAGACCCCTGTGCCCTTGCTGCCTGCAGTTGAGCTTCAGTCCTCATCTGTGGACACCTGGTCCCACTGATAGCTCTGTGAGCTGGGCTGGGTCGTCCAGCGTGGCTTCCCTTACCGTCTGGCAGCCCCAGGGGACGCTGGAAGGCAGGGCTGGAGCCAGGATGGCTGGGCATCGGCAGCCAGGAGCTGTCCTTCGTACATGGCAGCTCTGGTCCCCAAAGCACAAACGTGAAAGCTTCCAGGCTCAGGCCTGGGACTGGCCCCACTCCAGCCGTGCTCAGGAATCAGATGAGCCAGTGATGTGTGCAAGGGGCTGCTCAGGAATGTGGGGGACCCCTCGCCCAGCAGGACCAGGCCTCTATTCCCAGGGAGCCAGGGGGCTTCCCCTGCAGCTTCCACTCCCTCACCCGTCTGTGGGACCCGGAGCCCTGCCTCTGCCTCTCTGTCTGAGGAAGCGGCTGGTGGAGCTCTTTGCAGGAGAGACGCCATGGGCCCAGAGAACGAGCTGAGGCTGGAGAGCAGACAGGGCGGGGCCTACAGCAGCCTTGACCCGGTCCTGATTCCATTGGGGCGCCAGGCGCAGGCTTCACACAGGCCCAGCGGTGCCCGGTGGGGGGAGGGGGGCAGCGGCGGTGCCCAGGCTGGGGGTGGAAGTGGGTCTGGGAGGGGCGAGCATATAGGCTACCGCCTGGCTCCCCCCCCTTCCTTCCCCCTCCCCACTCTGGCACTGCTGGACAGGGGGCGGGGCGCCCACTGGATGCAGACCCTCAGATGCAAGGGAAATCCCAGCGCCTTCGTCTCCCTCCTGCAGAGCTGCCCCGACAGATCCAGGAACACTGGCCGCAGGAGGACTCCACTCTCCACTGGAGACCGGTGCTGCTGTGTGGTTTATTTGTGTCCAGCCTGTGCTTTTGTTTCCTGCCGCTCCTCCCCTTGGACCTTTATCCGCAGGGTCCTTCAGACCTGCCATGTGAATGTCCCTCTTCCGCAGTCCCCTGATCCCTGGGGGACCGAGAGGTTTTCCCTCAGCACCTGACCCCGGGCTCCCGGCTGCGCTGCACAGGCTGCGGGCCGCCAAGGCGCGGCACCTCGCACTCCCGTTGTGCAGTCCGGCACCTGCCGTGGGGATGCTCAGTAAACACTGGGAGCAGCATGAACGGGAGGCTGTGCTGGGCTTCCTCGCCAATGCCGGGCGGCCGGCGGCAGGACTTTCACTCTGCCGGAGCGGGGACCTCGCCGCTGCTGTGTCCCGTTTCAGCTTCATCTGGGCCTCTGGCTGCTCCAAACCTACGCAGCACAGCCTCCAGACCGGCAGGCTGCCCGCTGCCCTGGAATTGGGGAGTGACGGGGGGCGGGGGCGGTGGAGGGAGGGACACAGAGTAGGTGGAGCATCCATCCCCGTGCGGGGAAAGCAGAAGGATGGAGACAGAGGCAGGCAGGGAGAAGGGCGGGGGCTGCTCCCACCAGACCTTCTCCGGAACGGAGGGGCGCTCCCCAGGGAGCAGGAAGGAAGCCCACTGCCCTGCTCCTGGGCCTGCTGGAGGAACCCGTAGGCCGGCTGCAGGGGTTGGGGTGCAGGGCAGGCCCTGGCCAACGGCTCTGAGCTGCGCCGTCAGGCACTGCCGGGACAGGCCCCTGGCTGACCCAGCAGGCTGTTGGCCGCTGAGGTGCTTGGAGGCCTTGGGATGTGCAGGCCGGTGTTTGCTTCCTGGGGCCCTGGTCTTCCAGGCTCCTGTGGAACCGACGACGGGTTTGCCGCCCCGAGGGGCGCAGCTGAGGCTCCCGCACGGGAGGCATCACCCCCGCAGTGTCTGCCTCAGGGGCGGGGCTCTCTGCTGGTTCCTAAAGCCAGGCGACCACCTCCGGGAAGCAGCAAGCAGACCCCGCCCCCAGCGCGATCCCCCGCGGCAGCACCTGTGACAGGAAGGCGGCCCCTCTCAGAGCCGAGGTGCAGATCGGGGGGCTGAAAGGCACTGAGGGCGTGCAGGGCGGCCCAGCCAACGTGGCGTCTCTAGGCTCAGAGTGCACGGGGGGGGGGGGGGGGGGGGGGTGGCGGCTCAGGCGGCCCGCGTGGCGGCTCCACTGCGCCCTTCCCAGGTTCGGGGGTCGTGGGTGCAGCGGATGAACTGGCCTTTCCCCCAGGACTCCAGACCCACTCCTGCCTCAGGGCTTGGGAAAAAGATTGCTTATTTTTAGAGAGAGGAGAAGGGAGGGAGAAAGAAAGGAGAGAAACATCCGTGTGTGAGAAAGACAGTGATTGGCTGCCTTTCCTACATGCCCCGACCTGGGACCAAACTTGCAACCCAGGCCTATGCTCTGATGGGGAATCGAACTTGTGACCCTTCGCTTTGAGGGCGAGGCGACGCCCAACCCACTGAGCCACATGGACCGGGGCCTGGGGACTTTTGCCCGGAGTGCTTATTTCCGGCTTTGCTCAGTGGGCTGCTTCCTATCTTTGAGGGTTCTGCCGACACGCCTGCCTCACAGTCCCCCCGCCCCCCGCTCCATCTGTCATATCATCTCACCCCCATTCTGTGTGGCCCTGGAAGCGCACGGGTCTTACTATCCCGGTGACCGACGTACCTTCGCTTTTATCACGGGGACCACTGCAGCTCAAGGCACATTTGTTGAGAGAATAGAAGGAGGTACTAAGGCCTAAGCAGAGTGGGGATGGAGAGCGGATGGGCTAAACCAACCTAAGGAAGCTCAGACGTTTGGCCACCCATCGGAAGAGGGCATAGGCATCTCAGGTTTCTGGCGTGGGGACAGTTCCAGAGCCCAGAGTGACAAGTGGAGAAAGGCTCGCGCGGCCTGCCGCTCCCTTCTGCGGAGCACCTTGGATGCGGCCGCCACGCCCGCCCCGCCCCGAGACGCTCCAGAGGAGCCGGTGTCGGCCAAACCGCAGGCTGGCTGAGTCACTGGGGGGGTTGTTTGACTGAGTCACCGCCCCTCCCGCAGCCCGGTAACTGCTGTGTCGCCGCAGAGATCCCCTTTTCAGCAGACCTTTGCATTTTTAAATGAAGGCCAAGTCACTGGACCTCCCTGTGGAAACCGCGCAGCAGCGCCTGTTTCCAGGTGTCCGCGCAAGGGCAGGGTGAACCGACAGCAGGTGTGGGCGACTTTTGTCGAGGGCGGCCCGTTGGAAAGCAAGTGGGGCTGGGGGACTAGCGAACGAACCCCCCCCGTGGTCAGCAATGCCACGGGGCCCTGCTCTGGGGACTCGTGCAGGCAGTTGGGGGGAGGGGTCCCAACGTGGTGGCAGACAAAGAGAGCCGCGCCCCGCGGGCTGAACCCACGCGTGTCTTCCTGGCTGGCTGCTGAGTCAGCCCGCGGAGCCGGCGGTGCCGCAGGATGGGGCCCGGGGCTCCCTGGCCGGGAAGCGCCGCCCTTCCCCGGGCTGGAGGTCGCGGCCCTGCGGCCAGGGGTGCGTAGGGGCGACGGCTGCCGCGGGGGGCAGCACGGGGCGGCACGGCGGCTCGGCCGGGCCCGCCAGCCTTCGGAGACGGGAGAGGGGCCCGGGATCGCCTGGCCCCTCAGGACGCTCCCTCTGCTTGCGGTGGAAGCCCCCCGGCAGTTTTGGGGAGACACGACAGCAGAAACCCGGGACCAGCGCGCGGCGCACCGCATGGGGCCTGACAGCCAGGTGACCGCGCCCCCTCCGCCCACCACGTCGGCGGGGTCGGTGACGTCACGCGGCGCGCGGCATTGTGGGGCGGGGCCGAGTCGGGGGAGGGGCGCCGAGACGCCATTTTCCGCGGCGGGGCTGGAGCCGGCGGGTCTTGGGGCGGCGGCTGTGAGGGAGCAGCGGGGACAGCGCGCGCGGACGGCGGAGGATGCTGCGGGGCGGTCGCGCCGGCGCTCCTCGCTCGTGATAGCGGCGCCGCTTCTGAGGCGGCCGAGGCGGCGTGTCCCGTGCTGTCCCGCGACGCGCACGCGCCCGCGGCCTCCCGAGCTGACAGCGCCAGCGCGCGGCCCGCGGGAGCAGCACGGTGAGTGCGCCGGCCCCAGCCTCACCCGCGTCCATTCCCTGCCCTTCCCGTCCCCGGTCGCCGCCGCACCCACGTCCCCTGCAGGTTCGTGTTTCTTCGTTCCCGCATCCCCGGCTTCACGTTCTCCTCTGGGCCCGGCTTCCCCAGCTCAGTCCCGCTGCGGGCGGGGGCGGCCGTTCCAGGAACAGCTGCGGCCGGGGGAGCAGCGCAGGGGGAGGCCGCCGCCCCCGGGAACGCGGCGCGCGGGGCGGGCGAAGCCGGGAGGGGCTCCCGGCTGCTTTGCTTTGTCCGATTCCTCCGTTTCCTTCCGGCCGCCGCCCTCTCCCGCGGCGCCGCCCAGGGCTCGCCCCTGTCGGGCTCGCCCCTGTCATGCTCGCGGGGGACGCGCGGCCGGGCGGGCGGGCAGCGCGCAGGGTCCCGCCCGCGGGGCCGCCGGAGCTCGCTGTCCTCGGAGATCCCTTTCTCATCCCTTTAGTAACCGGACTGGAGACCCGTCGCCCACAGCGCCCGCCACCGCTGGTGTGGCTCCTGCCCACAGCAGCCGCCCTGGAATGCAGGGCGGTCGGATTGGGTGCACCCTGTTCTTTAAAATCGTTAAAATAAAGCATCACAAGAGGGAAATCAGTGCCCGGTGGACTGGGTGGTTTTTTATAACGAGGTCTGGAGATCGGGTAATTTTGTGTCAGAAATTGTGTATTGTAGCTTATTGTTTTATTATTTAAACAACACATTCATACATGAAGCGTTTGATGAGGAGGACTTGCAAAACGACGTATTTAAAAAGTGTGAGAACCACGGAAAATCTGAGATACACCATTTAAAGTGCCGGGTAAAGCCAGTTGGTTTTGATTGTTTGCATTGTTTAATTCCAAGGCCTTTTGGCCCCCTTGCTTTTTCCCCAAGGCTAAAATTTTGTACAGCCATTGATCAGAATCATTAGCTCAAAATATATTGTAACAACCTCCTTAAATCTCATGATATTATCAGAGCTCTGGGTTGACCTCTTCCAGGAACTGGCCACAGCCGAGACTGGGAAAGTGGATTCATTGTTCCGTTGCGGAGTGTCTGCCAGACGCCAGCAGCACTGTGTTAACATTCTGGACTCGAGGGTCGGCCTCCTAAGAGCCGGTTTCCCGTCCTCTAGGGCACGACATCCTAGTGCAGCGGCCCGGAGCTGCTGCGGGCCGGAGGGCGCAGGGGGGCGCAGGCCTTGCTGGGGCCGGCTCCCTCAGCCGCTGGGCCGCGGCCCCTAAAAACACTGGATGCCGCATAGTGAGCGTGGAGAGATAGATGCTCAGGGGACTCGGACAGGGACGACTTGCAGTGAGATGGCGGGAGGAGGTGCCGCTGGGAGGGGCACGGCCTTAAATAAGTGACAGGTTCTAAAGCGGGTTCGTAGTGTTGAAAGTAGAAAAGCTTCCCGCATAGGCCTGCAAACTGTCTTTCAATAATTGTGTAAAAAAACCCTAGAGATAGAAACATCAAAAGTTGAATAAAATGTGGGATTTGTATAATCTGAAGACAAGTGGAGTATGATAAGATACCAGAACTTCATGTAGCAAAGTCATCAGTAATACCTAAGGAGAAGAACAGGAAGGTGGTTTTTTTTTTCCATTTTACTTTTATTGACACTATTACAGATGTACGGGGAAGTTTTAAGTGTCAAATTTTGGGCATAAAATAGATGTGATTTGCACATCAAGGTTGTGGAAATGTGGTTTGATAAACGTCTACGGAGAACCAGCTGGATGGCAGGTGATGTGCTGATGGCAGGTGGTGACGCAGAGATAAGAGCCCCTGGCTGTCCCGCAGCAGCTCCCGGTCTGGGCAGGGGGAAGACAGGAAACGGAGCCCTGGTGGATTGGGGTGACCCCTGCCTGGGGTCCTGAGGAGGTGACTCCCAGTGGGGGGTGCTGGAGGCAGCTGCAGGTTCTGGAGGACCTAAGGCCTCAGGGGCTGCAGTGAGGGGAGTGTCGGGGTGGGTGAGATGGTCCAATGAAATCAGGACTGGCTTGAGCAAGGTGCCTGCGGGGGAGGGGGGGTTGCTTTAGTCCCCAGTGTAGGACGGAAGCTTGGAGGATGCAGGGAGTGAGTTGACACTTTAGAAGGAGTTTCAGGTCGTGTGGCAGGTGCATTGAGCTGAGCTAAGACTAGTTAGGAAGCCATTAATCCCCGGTGGGGATGGAGAGCTTCTGAGTTAGGGCAGTGCTGGGAGGAGGCCAAGAGCAGATGGGTCAGAGTGGCCTTGGTTTGGGTGGAGTAGACTGGGTGAGGGTGGGGCTGCACTGGCAGCCGGCAGCGTGCACTGCGGGGCAGCCGTCAGCGGGACCAGCCACCCCTCTGCTCCGTGCTGGCCCGTGTCTGTGAGTGCCCTGCCCTCCACTGCCCTCCCCTTCCTCCTCGCCCTCTCCGAGAGGCGCCTCTCCCTGGATACAAAAGTCTTCTCGTGTTGTCTCTTTCGACTCTGCTGTGCAGTCTACTTAATATTTTTTTCCTTAGTTGCTATCTGTCCCTCCACTTCCCTCCCTCATCGCCCTGAGGGTGGGGTTTGTACCTTCTGTGTCCACTGTCTGCCCGGCAGGGGAAGCACCTAGTGCCCATTTATTGCAGGACGCTCCTAGAGCGTCTCCCTTGGCTGGCCGGCCGATTGCTACCTTGGGTGACGTGCTGGCTGGTGAGGAGGGGGGAGACTTGGAGCCTGACTCTGGGGGTTCCGTCCGAGGTGTTGATGGGTGGCCAGGTGTGGAGCACTTGGAGATTCAGGGCTGAAGGTAAAGATCTGAGAGACCTCCTGTGGAAAGCCAGCCACGTGTCCCCGGAGACCGCTGTGGCCCTGAAGGGCAGGAGCGAGCCTTGGGCAGAGGGAAGGGCAGGTCAGTGTCAAACTGGCAGAGAGGTCGGGGAGAGCTGGGCGGAGAGCCTGTTGGATTTGGCGTCTCCCAGGTTACTAATGACCTTAGAGCCTCCTCCGGAGGCACCCTTGTGTCCTGCCTTGTAGAAGGCAGAAGGTTGGTGGGCTCTCCAGGTGAAGATGAACTGCGTTTTATTTAACCAGCTTTTGGGGGGTAGTGAAAGCAGTTTGGAGCTATGCTTCTGCACATGCTCAGTGCGCTGCCTGTGCTTCAGTAGTAAAGCAGACGAGTGTGTGTCAGTGAGCACATGCTTAAAGTGAGTTAAGTACATGTGTAAGCAGAGGCTATGACTTCGGTTCTAAAATGTCCAGTCACCCTGTGTAGTGCTGGACCCTCCCCTGACAGACGGCGCGGTGTGGGAGTTGATGCCCAGCCTCTGGAGTTCACTGTGCCCCCAGGTCACTGCCGAGACCTGGCACAGCGAGGCTGGCACTGTGCCCAGTACAATTGGTGCTGCAGCCGCCTGCATCCCACTGTCGAGGGAAGTTCGGGGTCGAGAAGGCAAGGCACTTAGACCAGAGGTGCCGTGGGGCGTGAGGCCGGCCCGACTCCAGTCGGTTTGCTGGCAGGTCTGAGCTTGGAGCCGCTACACTCAGTCCTCGGGCTGCTCCCACCGGGAGGCCCTTGTTCCGGCCCTGCAGTGGCAAAGCCCAGGTGACGTGGGTCTTGCCCTGACTCCCTGCAGTCGCTGGCCTCTGTGGAGCGTCCCGGGTGCCTTCTTAGCCAGGCTGAGTTTCCGTTCCTCATGGAGCCTGGATAGAACAGGTGCTTAGTATTGAGTTTTTCTTCCTTTTTTAGAGGTTTTATTTATTTATTTTTAGAGAGAGGGGAGAGGAATGAGAGGGAGAGAAACATCAATGTGCAATTGCCTCTTGTGCGCCCCCTACTGGGGACCTGGCTAAGGCACATGCCCTGACCAGGAATCGAACTGCTGACCCTTCAGGTCCTGGGACAACGCCCAACCCACTGAGCCACACCGGTGGGGGCTGGTTCTTTATTCTTATGGTGAATACAGGCAGCGTGTTTCCTCTCAAATTCACTTATTCCACCTGTTGCCAAAGGGTTAGTAGTGTTGACCAGATGGGGAAAATACATTCAGATAACCTCTGATCCTTTTAAATTGAGGTAAAAACACAACATTTGCTGTGGTAGCCATTTTCGAGTGCACAGTTCACTGGTCTTAAGCACATCGCACTTGTGCGGCAGGGCCCTCAGACTTTCTCATGCAGCACAGCTGAGACTCTGCGCCCGTTACACAGCAGCTCCCGTGCCCCACTCCTGGCAGCACCACTCTGCCTTCTGTCCCTGCAAATTGGGAAAGGAGCCCCCACACAGCTATCAATCTAAAAAATGAGTTTAGGCCCTGGCTGGTGTGGCTCAGTGCACTGAGCGCCGGCCTGTGAACCAAAAGGTCCCCAGTTCGATTCCTAGTCAGGGCACATGCCTGGGTTGTGGGCCAGGTCCCCAGTAGGGGTCGCACAAGAGGCAACCACACATTGATGTTTCCCTCTCTCCTTCTCTTCCCTTCTCTCTAAAAATACATAAATTAAATATTTTTTAAAAATTTTAAGAACAGTTCTAAAGCTGTTTTGGTGTGATATTTACATCAGTTTTCTGTTTATAACGTTACTCCAAACAGTGGTTTAGAACAATCACCTGTCTTCCAGTGTCCGTAGGTGAGTGGTAGGTGAGGGGGTGCCGTGTGGCCTGTCCGGACCCTGGGGAGCTCAGGGTTCGCATGCCACTGTCATGTGGGCTGTGAGGGGCATTTCTCCTCCAGAGCTGGAGGGAGCAAAATTCAGGTCTTTTTTTTTTTTTTTTTTAAAGATTTTATCTATTTATTTAGAGAGGGGAAGGGAGGGACAAAGACAGGGAGAGAAACACCAATCAGGTGCATCTCATGTGCCCCCTACTGGGGACCTGGCCTGTAACCCAGGCATGTGCCCTGACTGGGCGTCCAACCAGTGGCCGGACTCAGCCCCCTGAGCCACACCAGCCAGGTTGTGGGACTGGTGTTCTGGACCCCTTGCCGCCTTGCTGTCCGCCTGCTCTGGGTTCTGAGCGGTGGCCGCCCCCATCTCCTGAGCC